TTGAAATTAACTATTACACAAATTCGATTTGCAAAACTATTCCAAACCACATTTTTGAAGTTTCAGTATATTGTTCTTGTTGAATGCCCTTCTTATGTTACTTGAGTGTGCTATGGCTTGAGTATATTATAACTTCATAAGCACATCACATAATTTATCAAATATACAATATAAATACCTTCGATAACAAGTATTAGTGACCTCTGAAATATGCTTAGCCTGCTGTAGTATATCTTTCTCTTTGCCCTATTTTCTTTACCACTGCTGATACAAAAATGCCAGGTAAGATCATGAGCAATTACAGCATCTCTGGTTCTTCACTTTTGATATGACTGCATTTCCCTTCTTGGTTTATTTTCTGAGATCACGTCTGATGGTCAATCACGAGAGAAAGGGCCACGCAATCTTAGCATCAATCCGTTTGAAGGCAAAAGTACAGTGAAAGCCATGCGTGGTCAGATCCGACTTCACCTTGTGTGGACATTCATTGTCAGCCAGCAAACTCTCTGTAACAAGGTAAATAATTAGTAAAAATATGTTGAATGCTCTGAAAATTAGTTCTAAGTTTAACATGGCACTCCATTTTTGCCTCTCAATTAGATTAAAGATAAAATGTCTCCTTAACTATCCATTAAGAACATTTGGACAGGTAGAATCTGATATACTAAACCAAAATCTTTTCTAACTAATGATATTAACCTTTTTACTTAAATACTTCTTATATGGTCACATTTTACAATACTACTGAAAATGTTCACATACAAACAAACAAAAAAAAACGTACTTACCTAATCCATCTACCAGTTTATAAAGGCCATAATCTTGTGGATTTGTGACACGCAACTTGTGTGCCATCATCTTGCACACTTCACGTGTGGTTGTGCCGGGGCGTATGGGCAACGTGCGGGTTACTATACTGCCATTTTTCTCATCTGGGATTACAATCTTCATCACACCTTCATCTGATACTACAGACAAATCCTGCAGAATAGGTATATCTTACTGATAAGGACTTTTATAACAGTCATGAATTGAAGTTTTTGTTACAAAATGAAGCATGAAAAATAAAGGAAAAGTTAATAGTCTTTTATTTTTAGTCAGTACACTAGAATGCCAAAGATTATATTAGTAAGTATTAAGGGCAGCCTCAAGCATAATAAAAGAATGCACTCAACAAAACAAGAAAACACAAATAAAGAAGATATGAATGTTAATAACTTATAATTTAAAATTAAAAGTATCAAGTAAATATTAATAATTAAAAAGTACTCTACATGAAAAAAACAAAAGCAAAAAATAAAAAATAAAATAAAGAAAATCGCAATACCTGATGAGCATAATCTACCTGTTTAACAGAATCGAGACTGTTTCCAGGTGATGACTCTGGTGAAGGCGTGAAGTTTTTGAGAGCATGAATGGCCGAGTGGAATGCCTGGAGGTAATACGAGGCTTCCCCTGAGGAGGCATTTGGCAGAAGGAGCGTCATGTACTCAGCCTCTACTTCAGCAGAGACGAGGCCAGACTGACTCAGGACCCACTTGATCATGGGGACAAGATCATCAGCATCTCCAGAAACACGAGCATCTCGGTTTTCATACATCTGGAAAGTTGGCAAGCATTACTAGTTTTGAAACTCCTTACCTAAATATTTAATGAATTTTACTCAAGTCCTTTAAGATAGTACACAAATGGCAAGTATAATAAAATGATTGTCTTGCAATCTTTTTTTTGTCTTCTGAAATATCTTCTTCACTTCATGCAATTAATCTTATTGTATTCTGAAACCAACATTACTCACTGCTTGGTAAATATGTGATATTGTAGCTAACAAGTATTCTAACTTCTCTCTTGGGGCATACACTCTCTGCATCCTTGTCAACAAGCCACGAATAGTTTCAAGGGCTCTCCCACAAGGTGGTGATAATTCAGGCTGGGGGCATAAAAGCATCAATAATCAAAAGGTCCACTTTAAAAAATTAAAATTATGATTTTCACATTTGAAGGATTTGTTATACATACATAAAGCATAAAAAAAACAAAGACTTACCCTTATCCCGAGGCGAACATAGTGCTGTGACCTTGCATATTTCATATTTGTAGCCAGTAACTGAATTGAGCCATTTGCTGAATAAGTCTCCACAAACAGCTTGTTGATGTGATCCCACAAAGGACGTAAAACTAGCCTTACTAGAACATCCTCCAGTATGGCATCTAGATTCAGGAATTCTGTGGCTTTCAGCTGTTAAACAAAATAAAATATTCCTCATTTACATATCCAAAAATCAACATTATGAAACATCAGTGTGATTTATAATTTGATATTTAGCAATGATGAACACTGTAACTTATAACAATACACTTACATTACTTCGCTCCTTCTTAACAATGGCTTCAAATTCCTTCTCCCCACTTGTGACAAGGTAATTCTTCATACCAGACATGAACTGGCGAACATTACGGGTCACCACAGTGGGATCACGTTCAGGGCTCTCGAGAGTGCAGGTGATGAAGTTACTGACTGCTCTGCTGAAGGTGGTTGAGGTGTCACTCCCAAGACCAATGGCATAGTCCTTGATGGCAACTCCATTCTCGGCATCTTGACGATGTCTCAAGGCGAGCAGCTGAGGTGACACTGAAAATGTAGATTTGTGAAATTAGTGATGTGAATGTGAGTAAGGAACAGGGGATTCTCGATGTTAATTCTCTTGCACTTCTGTAATATTTCGAAAATGTTTCATCTATGACTATTGTTGTAAATCATATTTCAAAGTTTTGTAAGTCTGGCCATTGTGATATACCATTATTTATCTAAAGGAATAAAATGGCCTATGCAGATCCTCTTTTCTATGAAACTAATAAATCAAAAAATTAAACTAATTTACATAAAAAGAGAGTGAAAAGATTATCTCCTTTTCTTTTTCATATCTCCTCTTCCAACTTAAAAGTTCAACACTTTCTGATTCTATAAGGAACATTATAACACACCACAGACTAATGAAGGATGACACAGATACATTAAAAAGCAAAAGTGAATGAAAAGGTAAGAAAAGTGAAGACGAAAAAAGATAACAAATAATATAAACTCTAAAATTCTAAAAGGCAAAGGCAAGTTTGTGGTATGTAGTGCTATCCATGGCAATTTAAGTTGGCATGTAAAAGCCACTTCCCTTTTGTCTTAAAAATTCAAGACACTACACATCAATTTCTCTTCAAACTGCATTTACTGTTATGGTTGAATAAGAAAATAAAATTGCATTTAATGGAGAAATATAAACAGGATTTCTAGTTGAAAATATGTTACAGGGAGTTATCTTGAATAAACAGTTAGACTGAACTACTCTATTAAATATGAGCATGCAGCAATGTATTACTTCTTCAGGTAGATATTAAGAGGTAAAAATTGGTAAGGAAAAATGTGTTTTTTATTAAAATAAATTTATTCTACTGTGGTGTTCATATCTAGATACCAAGGGATTAATACAAAGCATTAGAACTTTTTAACTGTTGTGTAAAATGTGAACAGAACATGCATTAAAAACATTGGAAATCTGACCATGCAATTTACAAACATGACTTACAAGGATATAGTTGTTTACACAAATACAAACGTGCACAAAAATTGGTACTAAAACATGCAATGTGGAGAAAGGTAGATTTCAAAAGACAATAATTGATAGAAACGCATGCAATTCACGAGTGAAGTGTGGAACATTAAAGCTTGAAGTGCTACAAACTAATAGATTAATGAGATTAACCACGAAAAGTACACAAAAATAATGGTGTCAGGCAGATATATAAATAAGCTCTATAATCTTCTCTAAATAAATCTACTTCTACGCAAATGCAGTGCTACCTTCACCGACTTGAGATCAATATATTCTCAAACGTGCAAAATCGTGTAACTGCCTCTTCTTCTAAAACTAGAATCAATTCAATTAATGGAGATATTTTTTTACAGGGTACTAACAGCAATTATCACAGATGAAGGGATGCAAAATCGTGTAACTGCCTCTTCTTCTAAAACTTGAATCAATTAAATTAATGGAGATAATTTTTTAGTGTACTAACAGCAATTATCACAGATGAAGGGACATTTACAGCAAGCCTAGCCAGAGTACAATGATTGATTTAATAATACTTCAAAAAAATAAAACAAATTCTCAGTCTAATCCATGTAGACCTATTGTGTTCCTAATGGGATTACATAAAATGATTAAACCATTTCCCAACTGTCCTACGGAAGTTCTTGGCCATGCCAGTGCGAGAGCTCATGCATCTTCTTGAAGAACTAGACTCACTTATTCTTGACCGCAGGTGAGTGTCCAAGTTGTGGGCGTGGGCGAGGGACAAGGTCGGCACCCCAGACACGGAGGTCGTGTCATCGTCGCTGATGACCGCTGGTTCTCCGGTGATGTGGACAATGGACTCTGTGTCTGTGATCCCTCCGCCGCCGATGTCCGAGTCTTCTGGGGGTTGCAGCGCCGGCGTGCAGGTCGGACTGCGTGGGAACTGGTCTATCGAGGAGTCGTCTTCGGAGTGCATTATTGACTCCCACTTACGGGAATCCCAAGGCTCGGAAAATTCGGTTCCCGAGTCGCTTACGGTCGAGGCGAAATAGTGTGTCGGAAGAGGAGGCTGCAGTCGCTCTTCCGGAGGAATGCTACGAACAGGCCTGTGTTGCTGCTGTGGTGGCGGCTGCTGCTGAGAAAGGGGCTTCTGCTGCTGGTGGCGATCTTCACTCTTTGTGCTGGCATGACTTCCAACATTGTCGTATTCACTGACACGGGTTGTGTAGCTTGGGGCCAGAGACTGGTCGTCTAATAATGTCAGATCGGGGAGTTTCTCTGAGATCAGATCCTGCACGGTGCGCTCACCCGGGATGATGACGCTATCAGACTCCCCACCCGTGTCGCCGACAGGGAATCGACCTTCGCCTCCGGGGGCGTCTTCGTCGTCGGAGCCCACACCGAGGTATTCCCACGAGGAGTCCACTCGCCAGGGCGCCTCTGGAGTGCGCTCGCCGTTGGGCGTCATAGCGTCCCTGCCGATTCTCGGCGGGGCGATGGGCTTCCCGCGGCCGCCTGCCCGGGAGTGGCGGCGGACGTCGTTCCGGGCCTGGCCGTTGATCAGGTGGCCTGCGTTCACTTCGTTCTTCTCCACCTCCAGGTTGCGGCTCTTCTCCACCTCCACGTTTTCGTTGACTGCCTCCAGGTTCTTCCCATTCTCCAAATTTTCGATGCTGGAAGACAGAGGCAGGTCTTCATTCGAGTCGATTTTGCTGAGCGAGTTGCGGCTCTTGCGCGACTTCCACTGAATGTTGGAGTCCGAGTATCTGTTCGTTATCTTTCTGGTGCACTTGTTGGAGGCCTTGTTGATCCTCGCCTGCGGCTGCTGCTCCCGGAGCGCGTCGGCCGGCTCCATGTAGAACGGACTCGGGTTCTTACGATACGAATTCACGGAGTCCGTGCTGGTGCCGTTCAGTTTCCCGTTGTCGTAAAAGCTCTCCTCTTCCTTCTTGTTCTCCGAATCGTACGGGAAAGTCACCGGTTTTGTGTTTTTGGAAATTTCGCTCAAATCGCCCATGGATTTGGAAATTTCGTTCCGTGGCTTAAAGGTCGACATCTTGGGCTGCGCGGACGTGGGCGTGGGAGGCAGCTCGCGCGGCGGACTCGACCACAGGTCCTCGTAGTCACTGATCTTGTCTGCGAGGGACGAGCGGCAGTACGGCGCGTTGTTCTCCACGATGTTGGCCTCGTGGTAGTGGTTCGAGAGGCGGCGTCGGTCGCGCCTTCCGCTGCGGAGGCGCACGCGCGGCATACCCGGCGCCTCCTCGCCCAGGGGCGTGCTCGGAGCGCACGGCGTGCACGGCGTGCTCTGCGGCGAGGTGATCTGCTGGCGGATCTGCAGGTGCAGCGCGTCGCGGTGGCCGTTGAGGGCGCCGCTCTGGTTGCCGTTGGGCGAGGTGGTGATGTAGGGCTGCGAGGCGTTGCTGCCCGTCGGGGAGATCTCCAGGCTGGCCACGTGCACGCTCATGCCCTGCTGGCCGTCGTCCCCGATCTGCACCGGCAGCGCCTTCACCTGGTTCACGTTGAGGGTCAGCGTGGTGGTGACGGTGATGTTGGACGAGGAGGTCGAGGTGATGCTCGGCCGCGCCCACCGGGGGGGCGGCACGGGCGCCTGGCCCCCGCGTGGGGTCATGTCCCCGTTCTCGCTCGACGGCGTCCCCGCGTCGCCCGTCATGGGCGGGCTGAGCCGGGTCGGCGGCGTGGGCTTGGCGGAGGGCCTGTAGGAGCCGGGGGGGCTGGCGTGGGCGTGGCGCTGCGTTCCAGGCGGGCTGGAGCGCGGCGGCGGCATCGGCTTCGTGCCCGGCGTGCCCGGCTTGAGCGGCGTCACGGGCGTGGCTGGCTGCGAACGGAACGACGAGAGGCTGGGCTGCTCCTTGAGGATCTCCTCGAGCGGCGCCAGGTTGAGGTTGAGGGAGGAGCGGTCCCCGGGGGAGGGGACGGGGGGCGCCGGGCGAATGGGAGTCAGCGAGGAGGTGGAGCCCCCGATGGAGCCCGCCAGGGAGCCCGCGAGCGACGCGCCGCACAGCCCCTGCGCGTTGGGCGACAGGAGGCTGGACGAAGAGATCCCCCGCGTCACGCCGCCCTTCCCGAAGCTGCTGAAGGAGAGGTCATGCGGGCGCGGCGAGGGCGTGGGCGCCACACTGCGAGGGGCGTCGGCGGTCGGGGTGTTGGCGGTCGGGCTGGCCATCGGCGTGTCCCAGAACTCTGTTCGGAGGACAAAGGCAGAGGCTCTCTATAAGTCTGTTTCAGAGAGCTTCAAATAATGATGATAATGGCAGAGATGGCAATTGCAATGATGATAATAACAACACAAACAATGATGATGATGATAATAACAATAATACATTGATACTATTATAACATCTACTCTTCATATATATATATATATATATATATATATATATATATATATATATATATATATATATATATATATAATATATACATATATACAACGCCCCTAAAAGCCCCCCAAAATAGACAAGCACCGACCTTGGCCAAGGAGCGCCAGGGACGCCAGCTCGTGGCGCGTCCTGGCCTCCTGCACGGCGCGCGGCAACTTCAGCTGGACTGGCAACTCGTCACTGAAACAGGCAACATGTCAACGATGCAAACAAAATTGGAGAGGAAGAGATCACGACCTGTCAGAAGTCCCTGTCTATTATCATCTTAGTAAAAATATATACTTTTTCATTTCCTTAAATCATCTTCGAATAGGGGTGTCATCTTGTACTGTGATGGAGAAATTTAAGCATACTGGAATGATTATCATTCTCTTTCTCTCTCTCTCTCTCTCTCTCTTGCCTTCCCTCCCTTACATCACCCCCATCCCTATCCCCCTCACCCCCATCCCTATCCTCCTTCCCTCACCCCTATCCCCCTCACCCCACCCCCATATCCTCACCAGCACTGCGAATAGTAAGCGATGAGCGCCGGCGGGGTGTCGAAGCGGTTCTCCGAGGCCTCGAGCGAATACGTGGCCTGGTTGTGGATCTCGATGAGGTAGTGCTGGATGTAGGGTCCCTTGTCCTGCGGGAGGCGGACGCTCAGCGCCAGGGTGTCGGGCTTGCTGCTCTGCCGGACGATGAAGTTCTGCGCGAGGAGGGCCGGAGGGAGGAGGGAAGGAAGGGGTGGGCTTAGTTTTGGTAGACGTGGAGGGATGATGCGATGATGTAGGTAATAAACTAATTGGAACGATGGTGGGAATTAATAATAATCTAAAAAACAACAACAATAAAACCGAAAACAACAATAATCATAACATCAATATTTCATTATCATTACCACCATTTACACCTTACCAGAACCGAAAAAAAATGAACCAAAACAGCACCGCCACCGCCATATCATCACAACCAACCACAGAAGGCCACGCCCCCTCTGGCTACGTACCCCTTCGTCTTTGCCCTGCAGGAGGTGCACGGCCCCCGAGCGCTGGAGGTCAGGCAGGAACCAGATGGGGTATGTCTTGACCAGTCGCTCATCCAGCTGAATGTGACACGGCTCGCACTCCGACCCATCCCCGCTGCCAGTCTGGGAAGGGGAAAAGAGGGGTCAGATAAGGTGCTATAAGAATGAGATATGTAATTTATGTACTAGGGGTCAGTTAAGGTGCTTTAAGAATTAGATATGTGCTTTATGTACTATAAGTGCCATGGTACTTGAAGAACTATGTGCATATATTCTATGTAATCCAAGTTTTCTATATGCCTTTGGGGTCAGTAGGACAGGCTTGGTCCTCCTCAAGGCGAGGCGAAGACAGGTCAGAGAAGGTCGTTTGTGTGGCAGATGTTACGTACAGGCGAAAGTATGATATGGTATTTTCACAATTTATCTATCCATCTATTCATTTATTCACTATTAATTGAATGGTCATGTAAATGGATTGTTCCATCCCCCCCCCCCCGCCACCGAATTTCTCACCAACAGATAACACATTCGGGTACTTTTCCTTTTTCGCCTTTATCGCCCTATCTCAATTCTCGTCTCCTTCTAAAGCGGCGCAGAAACAAGCGTCTCCACCTGAGTCCCCCTTTCGTCTCGCCGGCGACATGAGCGCCGACCTTGTACGCAGAAATTCCTCATAATCTGAGATATAATGAACATGTTTACGAGCCTACAAACATGGTAAGGTCCCTCTGCCACCCCCATCCCTTCCTCTCCCCCCCATCTAGGTTGTACGACCCCCTCTCCCTCCCCCACCCTCTCTCCCATCTAGGTTGTACGACCCCCTCCCTCTCCCCTCTCAAGGTTGTACGACCGCCCCCCTCCTGTACGACCTCCTCCCTCCCCACCTCGCTCTCCCCACCCAGGTAGTACAGCTCTCACTCCTCCCTCCCCCTACCCCTAGGTAAGAGGACCACCCCACTCCTTCCCCCTGTCAACACTTATATATAAGATTGATTACACCGAAAAATACATGTGGCCAAAGGAGAGATAGACGAGAGAGACAGAAGGGGAACCGCAGGTCAACGACCACTTGATATCGCTGGTGACCCTCTCCCTCCCCCCCCCTCTTCTCCTTCCCTCTGCCTCCTTGTCCTCCCATCCTCACCTGTCCTCTCGGCCTCTTCCCTTCCTTGGCCCCTTTCCTCACTTCCTCCCCTGCTCCCTTGCCTCCTTTCTATCTTTCTCTCTCCCTGCCCCTCTTTCCCTCCTCTTCTTCCCTGGCCTCTTCCCCTCCCTTCTCCCCCCCCCCACTCTTCCCTTGCCCGTGCTCGCCCTTCTCCCCGGCCCACTGCCTCTTTCCTTTTCTCTCCTTCTTCCCTGCCTTCCTGCCCTCCCCTCCACTCCTTCCTTGCCCCCTGCCTCCCTTTCCACTCCCTTCTTCCCTGCTTCCCTGCCCTCCTCTTCCACTCCTTCCTTGCCCCCGTGCCCCATGCCCACCTCATGCGGTCCCGCCTGCGTCAGCCGTCATGTGGTGTCATCTGACAGCAAGTTCTGATGTTGCTGACATTCCTGTGCCTTGATATTGGACCTGGCGGTGTGAGGACGCATCTCTGTCTCTTCCTCACTTTCTTTCTATTCCTTTCATCTATCAGTCTTGATTTGTGTCCTATTCTTCACCTTGTTTATCAGTCTTGTTTATCCTTCCCTCTCGCATGTAGTCCCTGCTTTCCTTCCTTTCCTATCTTCTGGCATACCATCCCGACCGCCTCTCCTTCCTGTTCCTCACACAATAAAGGGCGACATCGATAGGCATGGACTAATTTTCCTACAATGTTCACGAATTCTTTTTTACTGATGTTTTCTTTCTATATCTATGTCTATGAAATCTTTCTTCTTGTTTCTGCCCTCCTCTTCCTCTTTCCCTCCCTTCCTCTCACTCTGTCACACACATATACATACACAGATACACAGACACACACAGACACACACACACACACTTAACTCCCCCTTCCCTCCCCACACGATAAACACCACATCACACTCTCTCTCCCCCTTCACACCCTCCTCCTCCCCTCCACTCACTCCCCTCCTCCTCCCCTCACCCCTCCTATCCCTCGCAGCGTCAGACCAGCGTTTCCGTAACATTCCCTCGATAAAAAAGGCGCTTAATCGGGCAGAAGGAACTAACGCCAGGAGAGGGAGCCAAAGGGGGAGGGGATGGGGGAAAGGGCGGGGAGGGGAAATGGGGAAATGAGTGGGGATGGGAGTGGGGGGAACCGAGGGACACGAGGGAGGGCACTAGGAGGGGCGAGGGAAGGGGAAATGGGTTAGGGGAGGGAGGGGAGGGAGGGGAGGGAGTGTAAGGGGAGTGAAAAGGGGGTGTGGGGGCAATGAAGGGTGTTCGGGAGAGCGCACAGGGAACACGGGTGGGGGTGGTAAGGGGGGGGGGGGTGAGTGGGTGCGATCACCCGCAAGTAATGTGATTTCCTGCACCTCTCGTCTCCCTTCATTATCCTCCCAACGGTTGCTGAGAGAAATACTATTGCTGAGAAATGCATAGAGAGAGAGGAGCATATATATATATATATATATATATATATATATATATATATATATATATATATATATATATATATATATATATATAATATATATATATATACACACACACATATATATAAGAGTGTGTGTGTGTGTTAGTAATAATACAACAGGAACATCAATATGAAAGTTAATGATATTCCCAACAGCAATAAGATTATTACTACTGATAATGCAAACAACAGTCTCAACGATGATTTCTAATAACAATAAAATATATAACTTACTGTTTTCAATCTAATAACAAAGTAAAAAGTACACGAACTGAACAAAATTCATACTTTCGCAAATAAACGCAATCTCTCTGGACCCTTTCCTCGTATGCAAATTCCTCTCCGTTCGCAGGCTTCGTCTTATTAACGCACTTCAAAAATTAAAGAAATCAACGAAAAAATAAAGAGCTCTCGTATTGACAATCGTGACACCTCACTTTCACATCGAGCCTGGCCACGTCACTTCAACAAACATGTCAGAAAAAAATATTAACCCCCGCGCCCATTCTGAAATAAAAATTACTGATGCATTCATCTCAGTCCTTAATAAGAGAGATTCCACTTTCACGCAGAAGGTGTTGTCTGTCGTGTTTGCCTCTCGGGAGATTTCAATGCCGGAGAGGGTAAAGTAGCGATCACAATTCCCGCTTTCTTTGATTCTCGAGGGGTGACTATGCAAGATCGTGATCGCCGGGCCATGTTCAAACTGACCGGTGTTTACGATCTAAACAGTTCGACACCTCTTCTCATTTCACTTTTTTCCCCTTCAAATATGAGGTGATATTTGCAATGCACCGCAACTGCTAACTAATATAACTCTTACATAATTGACTGGAGTCGACCCACGCAGACATTTTACAAGGAGAACGACGCCCTCTACAGAGCGTGTTCTGAATGCAAGATTCACTCGTCCCGCAGCCACCTGACCCTCTGCCATATCACCCCTATTTTCCCAATCTCAAGGGTGAAAAATCCCACCGAAACCCAGCGACAGAGAAACGACCCTCTCGATCCCCTATACTGCATTCTACCGAGGCGCCTCACCTTTTCTTCCCTCCGACCTCCCCCTTCCCTTCCATAACTCCCCCTCTCCTCTACCCCCCTCCCGCTTCATCCAAGGTCTTCTGCCCGAAGCTCGAGGTCGAGGCTACACAGCATCCGCGCGCACGAGACGAGAAAGAGAATTCTTCCACAAGGGAATATCCACCTGGCGAGGGAGAAGGAGGTTCCCGTCGCCCCTTCGCCCCGACACGAGGGAGAAAGCGCCGGATAAGTTACAAGATCTCGAGGGAAGAAGGACGACCTCAACGCAGCTGGTCAGACGCCTTAGGAAGAAAGAAAGAAAGAGAGAGAGAAAGAAAAAAAGTTAAAAAAGGCGTGAGTCACTCGCCAAATATGGAGGCCGGTGACGCCCCGGGATCGTCCGCGCGGGGACACTGCCACCTGGTGACCATACCCGGGGCAACGCCTGGCACTCGGGTCTGTGAACTGCCCATGGCACGCAAGGGCAAGGGCAAGCAGGAAAGCGTGATCGAGGCAGGCGAAGGCGAGAGCGCGGGGCGTCTGAGTCGGTTTGTCCCCGGGAGAGGTTTGTCCCGGAATGCGCCTGCCATCTGGCGTCCTCGCTGACACTTTCGACTGCAATCGATCTGCGTTTCAGCGCGGCGCCCGGCGCATCATCGCTGGTTTATTACCGTGGCCAAGATGTGAGATTATATACGTGATCCTCGAATATTTTGTCATGGAAAAATAGGATTTAAAGCGGGAATTTGGCAACACTTTTTCCCGCTGGGGGGGAAAAATCAAGAGTATTCACAAAAAAAGAATATTAATTACTGTAAATACGGCAAAGATAACACCGTTAAACGTAATCATACCCAATAGATCTCCTTATCACGAAACCCACCTCTCGCTCTTTAATCTGCGAATTCCCAGAAGAGCTAATACCTCAAATCCTCTACCCCCCCCCCTCTCCACCCCCCACCCCAAATACAAACCATAAACTCACAAACACCTAAACGAAAACAAGGAAAACCATGGAGAGTACGATCAGACTCTTTTCAGCCTGATAACGACCTCTATCGACTCTCAACAGCCACTATCTACCCTTACTACCCTTAGCCTCGCGACGTCGACCATACACCTGGCTGTCACTCCCCATTTACCGCAACCTCTCTCTCCTTGCCACTCCGCGCCGCGACCTCCACTCCCACTCCTTTGACCCTTCTCAGGTAACGCAGCAGGGCGGAGGGATGGGAGATGGGAGATGGAGATTGAGAGATGAGAGGAGAGAGAGAGAGAGAGAGAGAAGAGAGAGAGAGAGAGAGAGAGAGAGAGAGAGAGAGAGAGAGAGAGAGATGGAGAAGATGAAGACAGAGAGAGAAGAGACAGAGACAGAAGAGACAGAGACAGAGAGACAGAGAGAGAGAGAGAGAGAGAGAGAGAGAGAGAGAGAGAGAGAGAGAGAGAGAGAGAGAGAGAGAGAGAGAGAGAGAGAGAGAGAGAGAGAGAGAGAGAGAGAGAGAGAGAGAGAGAGGAGAGAGAGAGAGA